GAGGTTTTTACGAGAGAAAAAATCTCGGTAATTTAAATGCCCGTTCTACTTCTTTATTGTACCTCAGGCATTCTTCTCCGGATCAAAATGAAGGAGTTTAAAAAAACAAAACAGGAATGTTTTCAATAAAATTTCGTCACCTCCGTAAAATATCTATAAATATTTCGGTGTCTTGAATTTCGAGATATTCAACAACAGCATCTCGAGCCAAAATCCCCAACCCTCGTTTTACCACTCCACTACTGGTCCCCTCGAACAGTTCGTATTTCCCTAATGAGATGCATTCCTAAACGGCAACTAATTACCGAGACTTACGCAACCAATTAAGCCAATAACACGATCAATTCGTTTCCCCTGATAAAATCGAGGAATCCGTATTAACAAAACGATTGGACAGGTTTCATATAAACCGACATCGTCGAGAGAATTTAATCGTCATTTGAAACGTGTCCTGGACGTCGTGAATGATTGATAAAATTGCCGATGAATGTTACCATGATAAGAGCAGCAATAATCCCCAGGAGTAGTCCAGCCAAAACGTCACTCCAGTGATGTTTGTAATCGGAGACCCTGGACATAGCAGTAAACCACGCCACCATCAAGCAAATCAACTGCAGTACATTTTTCAAAAGTTTACTTCCCTTCCACGTCACCCTCAATTGCAGGTACAGCTGAACAATAAAAACATTGACAAGTTCATTACGTCCTTTATCCTTTCTAAAAGTAAATGAAATATGACACTGTAATTTTAGAGGCACTCACTGCGAGATAGACCATCGCGTAAGCCGAGAACGAGGAGTGGCCTGATGGAAATGACAGTCTGAAAAGAGATAAAATAAAATCCATTGAAAAAATAGAGAATAACTACCCAACTCAATTAGCTTGAATCTAATGTATCTAATGTATCTTCCCCGGGCCATTTCAAACACTCGAATCTTTCAATATTTTTTGCCCTCTCTAGAAACTCTAAAGATAGCACTCAGTTGTGAGAGAGAAAGGCAGACCTTTTTACTTCCATCTTTTTTACTCGTTAAGAACAGACCCTTCTAAGGATAGTCGTCGTACGACCGTTAAAAGAGTGAATGGTTAAATGAGGGAAAAAAATGAAGAAATAGTCACATGGCTTTTGCCCTTAAACGAAATACATGTTGGGAATAGAAGTTGAATGAATTCACTGTTTTGGTATCAAACTGGGTACGATAAAAATTCAGAAGATCATTGTGGTATTCGTCTACTGGTTTTTCTCCTACCAAAATATTGAATCATTCTGTCATCATTCATTTTGTCGCTCTTTTAATTCATACTAAATACAATTGACAAAAAAATTTCTTTCTGACGATTTACAAATCAAATTGCAAATTAAAAATCTCTCAAATAATCCCATTTTTACGATAGAATTTGATAAGCACAAACGAAAAAATTATTGAGAACTGATCTCTGAAAAATAATTGAAGGGAATAGAAATTTTTTAAATCGTTAACATGGTTGAGTGTAGACAATTGTAAAAATTAAATTGAAAATCGCATGTTTTTACGATTACATATTTTTCTACGTAGTGAGTGAACAGTTTTTGCGATGAATCACAGAAAGCGTTCGTTGCTATCGCAATTGATAGAGATGGAGGCATTCGAATCCAGTTAACCGTCATTTCTAAGACAATAGACACTTAGTATTGACTCAACATCTCCAATTGAATCACCCCGACTATTTTCAGTCCATTACACCTGGTGATCTACCTCCCTCCCAACTCCACGTACACGAGGGGAATCTCTTTGCGCGTTACGTAATTCCACCGGATTTCAGCAATTTCAGAAGGAACTTTAGATCACTTTTAAGTGCTACTTAACAATTTTTGGGCTTGGCAATGAATATAAACCCAACGGGAAAAAAATAGAGCAGTAGAGACCGCTCTATTGCTCTCAAATCCCAACTGACTAAAATGTCATTTTCTTTTAATTGAATGAAAAATATTTTTTAGTGTCTTCCGTCGATGACTGACTTTCACCGAGAGCTGTGGATTATCGCGTCGTTGAAAAGTTTCTTGTTAATACTCGGCAAATTTTTTGCTGATTATAAAAAATCAGGGGGACTGGAAGCTAGGATAGCTGGGATAGGGTAGTTTACCTAGATTCTTTGAGCATTCTGGCTGTTGAGTTACTCGCTGTACATGTGAAATCAGTGATGTACATGTGTTGATACTGGGGTAGTGTACAGTCGATATTAGGTTTGCACACATCCATGAAATGTGGGCGTAATCGTCCAATCGTGTACTTGGCAATGTCGGTCATCACCTGTGATGCCATCGATCCAAATCCGAATAGGCCGATCTAGAATAACGAAATTGAGGGTTGAGTCAATTGTTGTGAATGGTATGTCAGGAATTATTCATTATGAGTTAGAGGTCATGCACTTGATGGTGAATCACTTGATTTTTTTGTTCACTCATGAATTATGATATTCGTTATCGGAGCAACAAATAGATTTATTTAAAAATGAACTCATGGATAAAACGAAAATATAATTCGACGGATTGATGATCAATCATTTTTTAGGACTGTAACTCCGGATGTTGTTTAGGGGAACAATTTATTATTATTAATTATTATTACGATTATTATTTATTAGTAATAACCGATTGAGTGTCGAGTCAAGTTTAGATATCCTCTGGTGCCATAAAAAAATTAGTCTGCTTTCGTAATATGTTGTTGTAAAGATGAGTTGAGATAATTTTTGCAGATAGAGGATTTCCATAGATTAAATAAGCCCTAGAAAATTTATGTAAATGTCGAAGTTATCAAGGAATTAATTGCATAAAAGATCGAGGTTTTATCAAAGTGCAAACGAATAGTTTTTCGCTATGATAACGAAGCTTGCATTTTGCAATAAACCCAGGAGATTATGGAGTAATAGCCGCCCATAAAATAAATTTCCATTGCATGACATTGATTTACAATCTACAAATTAATTTCTTTTCTGAGCTTAATTGTTACGCGTTTAATTATACATAGAATGCCTTTAGTGAATAAATTTGTTGAAATTGGAATAATTGAATCGAAATTTGCAATTTGCGTGGAGAGATTCTGATACATTAAATCTCGAATCGGAAAATTTCACGAAAATATCAGCGAAACTCATGATAAAAATTGCCAAGAAGTGCACAACAAATTCCAGTGAAGAAGTTGAGTTGACAATTTATTTGGACAATGCAAAATAAATAAAAAGAAGACGTGCAATTACCAGGAAAAGCCTTGGCCCCATCTTCCAGCGACAAATTGCGTGAAATACGAGGAGTGGAAATAAGATGCTTAATTTCCTCAAACCGAAAAATGCAAGAGGAGTTTCGAAAGCCGTTACAATTTATGGCGAACGTAAGAACTCCTCCGAAAGTCTTAAATTGCACATTTCACAATTTATTACCTGTTGTTTAAGTGGAGAAAAAAATATTCGAGAGAGGATCTTGCAACGCGACTCCTTTTGTTTGTGCCTTTTCGTTCTTTCCGAGAATTCACACTTTTTATTTACTGACGTCCACTTTCTTCACCCCCTCTTTAACCACCCGAAAATTTCACTCACCTTATTGTAGGCCAATGACACCCATGGAGGTATCACCTTGCCAAATAGCACAACCGACGATTGTCCATTGCTGTTCCTCGCATAAAAGTATTCGCCAACGAGCATCTGAAATTTTTACAAGTTTCATTAATTCATTTTTCATTCATCTCCAGATTTTTTATCCGTAAGTCTAAATTGTTGAGAATTCAGTGAGAAAGAAACGATTAATATTCTAATTCTATAAAAATATATTTATATGAAACCCAGCTTTTCGCCACTTTTATCTCCTATAATAATTTTAAAAACTCTGAAATATGCGGTTTTTCAATGACGAAATCGCTTGAAATACCAGTGAAAATATCACCTGCCAAGAATTCCAACATTCCATCCATTCAACCGTGACTAGAAAATTATAACTGATACTCATTAATTCCTCCCTCCCCGCTGTTCCCGAGGAAAAATTGATTTTCCCAGTGATAAATTCAAGGAACTACCGTAACTATTCACTGAATAATTACTCTACCTAATTATCCCTGAGAAATTAAACGAGTGGCTTTCAACAAAAAACTCACAACCCCTCAGATTAATTATCAATCCACAAAAAAAAATACCAGACCTAGTAAACATCCATCTGTTTTCATCCGAATCTCTCTAAAAAAAACTACGATAACCAATTCCTATAGACATAAAAAAAACTAACTTCCTTGAAGCTGAAAGATCTAAAAAAAAAACATGTGAGATAAATTTCATGAATCAGAAGCCTCAAGCTGACGAAAGGTGAACCACCTCCTAAAAAATGCCTTGGAATTCCTCCTTGGGATAAAACTCCTATTTTTTATTCTCTTATCATTAGAATAAATAAAAGCCTTGGGAATTAATGACATTATGATAGAAGAGGGCCTGGGGGAGTAAATGGGTGTGACCCCGGGGGGCAATAAAATTTGTCGGTCAGGGATAAAAGTTGGGGTTTGCAACAACAAGAGGACTTGATTTTGTTCGCATTGAAACACGCGTGCCTTCCCCCCTCCATAATTTTCTGATAAGCCTTCATCAACAAGAGCCACGCGCTTACTGATATACACACGCACTTACACCTCCATCTGTTAAAACGCACGTGTTATATCAGTTGACAATGTGATTATTACTTTTTATTTTGCTGTTGTAAGCGTAAATCAAAGCGACTCATCACGTATTAAAAAAAGTTCGAAGAAAAAGGTGACGGATACAATTGTGTCATTAGAGGATTATTCGAGTAATCAAACGCCATATAACTGCATATTTCATTTTTTATGTTCTTATCTTCCACTTTATCAATCGTCATTTTGTGTCGAGGATTATTTGAAGGATCACGTAAGACTTTTCATCTCGATTTCGCCTTGAGAAAATCTCTGTGATCGTCTGCACCGGAAAATCTTTTTTAAACAGAATGAGATTATTTATTCTAGAAATTGCTCTGTTGGAAATTTCCTGAAAAATTATTTTTTATTTTGTAGAATCAAACCGGAATTACTGAATATCCATGAATTTTATCTAACGTATTGAATTAATTTAATTGACAGATTATGCACGAATGAACATTTTAAATAATGGAATTCACACATTAGAAACCG